TCAGTGTTTTTCAACAGAGTTAGAACATAAAGTTACAGTATTTGCTGTAACAGGATAAATCATTTGAAGAACATTTCTTTATTGTTTGTACAACTGTAATTGAAATTGTTGGGAGGCTCAGTCTGTTAAGTGTCCAACTCCAGCTCAGGTCATGATCTCCCCGTTCATGGGTTCAAGCCTCACATTGAGCTCTCAGATCCACTGTCTCCCTCTCTCTCTGCCCTTCCCCTGCTTACATGCTCTCTCTCTCTCTCTCAAAAATAAACAAACATTAAAAAAAGAAGAAAAGAAAATTTCAACTAAGTTATACAGTGTTTTTTCCATACAACACAATTTAGTGCCATGAGAAAACCCTATCTCTTTCTCCAGATAATTTTATATGTGTTTCTTTTTTCTGTTACTAATTAGATAACACAAACTATATTCCTTTTGGTCTTAATCACAGGAACCTAAGAGCTAAGTTGTATATTCAGAGTAATGTTTCAACATTTTTTCCTTTCTAATGAATTTTTTTTATTAAGAAGTGTTTGTTATTCTTCTAATATATGCTATTTTACAATGTCACTGGAATGCTCTATTTGATTAAGGAACAACATTCTCATACTGCATTACTATATTTCTAATACATTAATAAGGACCTCATGTTCAGTAAATAGAAAAATTCATTTTGGAGGTTTTGGAGAATGTTACAAAGTTCCAAAGGAAAATGTGAGTGGTATAATTTGAATAGTATCATTACCTTCTTCTAACTCAACACATGTGAAAATTTACATTTTACAAATAGCTAATATAAAACCACTATGTGATTTTTTGCAAAAACAAGAATTATTAAAAGTTTTGCTCTTGGGGCACCTGGGTGGCTTTGTCAGTTAAGCAGCTGACTTTGGCTCAGGTCATGATCCCCCAGGTCGTGAGTTCCACCCCTGGTTCAGATCCTCTATCCCCCTCTTGTTGGCCCCTCCCCCATTGGCTGTCTCTCAAAAATAAACACTAAAAAAAAAAAAATACTTGTCTTTAATTTTTTTTTTTTAATTTTTTTTTCAACGTTTATTTATTTTGGGGACAGAGAGAGAGACAGAGCATGAACGGGGGAGGGGCAGAGAGAGAGGGAGACACAGAATTGGAAACAGGCTCCAGGCTCTGAGCCATCAGCCCAGAGCCTGACGCGGGGCTCGAACTCACGGACCGCGAGATCGTGACCTGGCTGAAGTCGGACGCTTAACCGACTGCGCCACCCAGGCGCCCCAATACTTGTCTTAAAAAAAAAAAAAAAGTTTTGCTCTCTGTAAGCGCTTGATGGTTAACAAAGAAATGCTGATCACCTAGACTGGAAATTTATCCCAGCCCTTTGGTTTTTAGTGGGACAATTATGAAATAACACTATAGATCTGTCCATTTCAGTTATTTTAATCTGAGCTGAGAACCACTGTTCAACCCAAAAGAGAGTAATGTCATTGTTAAAAGGGACTCCAATTTTAAAAATATCTGAAATTATTCAAATATATTTGTATTTGCTTCTATAGTATATTAATATGCTTTTATATTGTATTTGTTCCTTATTTACATTAAATCTCAAGCATAAGAAAATGTCATTATTGTAGGAAATCTGTACTTGAGAGTAAGAAAATGAAAACTACTTCCAAAAATAACCCACCAGAATCAAAGAAGCTTTTTCTACTACACTAAGTGGATTGTTTATTTGCAAATCTCTTTATATTATTTTAACTGGACTTAATGAACTCACATAACTAAACTGCCTTTTCAGTAACTCAATGTTTACCGTTTCAAAACTAAAATTCCATTTCTCTGATTCAGCCAAAATTATTAGCATTTCCATTAATAAGCTGTAGTAAATTTTTAGTTTGGGATTTTTTTTTTTTTTTAAATATCGGAAAGGATAATATAGGAAAGGACAGAGATGCCTTACCAAAAGTTCAGAAAGTCAATAAAATAAATAAACAGTAATGGATTTCCACAGATACTTTACCCAAATAAAATTCTATTTGCTAGGATGCTGGAACAGATTTTCCTTCCTCAGAAGATGATGTAATCACTGAGAAATTTCTCAAAATACAGATATTTGAGATTCCTTTCTGACCCATTCAAAATACAGATGTTCCCACAGCAAAAGGAACCACATTAACTGACATCAGTACACATAAATACTTCTACTTTGCATTTGAGATGCCTTTTTCAGAGGTATAATGTATGAAGGAAACATAAAACATTTATTTCACTTGTAGGCATCTTCAAAATTCAGATTTTTACATTGATGGGTAGAAAACGTCTCAGCATAGCTAATGAATTCCTAAAATAACAAAAACTTTTTATTTGTTAAATATGAAATGTATAGGATATTTTATGGAGCCAATTCTTTAACAGTTACGGCCTCTCTCAACATATATATTTTATTTTTAAAAGATTTGCTGAACAATTTTCCTTGGGTAAATATAAATATCACTATGCTGTGGAATTCTACTGTTACTAGGTAATTTTGAAAACAAACACACTCTCTGCACACTTTGCTGCGATTAGGTGAATTTATTCTGGTATTAGTCTTCTAAAACTTCTTTTTTAAAAAATTTTTTTTTCAACGTTTATTTATTTTTGGGACAGAGAGAGACAGAGCATGAACGGGGGAGGGGCAGAGAGAGAGGGAGACACAGAATCGGAAACAGGCTCCAGGCTCTGAACCATCAGCCCAGAGCCTGACGCGGGGCTCGAACTCCCGGACCGCGAGATGGTGACCTGGCTGAAGTCGGACGCTTAACTGACTGCGCCACCCAGGCGCCCCAGTCTTCTAAAACTTCTAATGCTGCTGGCTAAATGACTTCTATTGCCTTATATAATATAAAGTATGGTTGTGTCTTTCTAAAAAAAATCCAATAAAATTCTTCTCAGAGCTATAAAATTAGAATACTAAAAAAATAAGCTCAAAATGTTTAGAAATATTTAGTTCTTAAGGAAAAAAAAGTTTCCAAGAATAATCTATTTTGCCTTATTGGTAAGGGTCCAATGACTCTGTGGGCTGGCTATTTCTTCAAAAGGTCCATTGTATATATAAAAAATTTCCAAAAAGGACTTCCAAAGAACTAAGTTCACGAAAATTTTATTTTATGTGCTTCCTAAAAGCATCCAAATCTGGAGAAGTTAGATACAAGCCTTATGACAGTAAAAATGCCTAAAACCATATAATAAAAATAATCTTTGATAAAATACTATTTTTAATGGGTTAATTTTTTTCTTTTACCCCCACAAATAAAGGGTTTATTTTTCAACACATGCATAATATTCTGTAATAGAATGGAAAAATAGCTGAAGTTTAACTTGAAATTTAGAGTTAATTACAATGCACAGAAGCATTATAAATCATGTATCAAAACATTATCCAAATTAGTTTCTGCAAATCCTTACCATTTATTCATCTCCCTGACATATCACAGAGATTAAATTTTCTCCATGACTTCTACCTGGGGCGGGGGGGGGCAGGTAGTATAGGGCAGACAGTTAGGAAACCAGGCAATGGGTGTGAGGATGTTGAAGGTTATTACCATATAAAGGACATAGAGCTTTGCCCAAAAAAGAGTAGGGAAACAATGCATTCTGACAGCCTTCATAGTACTTTTGCTATGACTTACAGCAATAATATTCAAAATTTTTTTTTCCTCTTGGACTGCATTTTCATTCCATTTTTATACTAGAATAGAGGCTTTCAACATGTGTGGAGAGGTGAAGTCTTTGAGGTGGGAGATGGATTTTGCCTACCAAGGGATATTTGGCAATGTCTGGAGACATTTTTGACTGTCACAACTGGGAGGAAGGGTGTTACTGGCATCTAGTGGATGCCAGAGATGCAGCTAAGCTTGTACAAAGCTTAGGGCAACCACCACCAACAAAGAATTATCTGATCTGAAACATCAATAATGCTGAGGTTGAGAAGCCTTGTCCTAGAGATATACATTTCTATTCCTAGAAGTCTTTTATTATACTTCTCTACAACAAAAATACTTTTATAAATTGATATAATGAGATGGAAGGAGCTTATTTCGTTATTTTCAATTAGGTATTGTAACCGTGGATAAATATTACTTATTTCTAGAATGAGACCAAACTTAATATATTTCTATTTTCATTTTCATGAGAGCTGAGAAAACTCCTTTGTAAATAAGTAGATGGAAAAGGAGTTCTGTTGGAATAATGTCACTTATTCTGCAGATTCCTTCTAAGTTATATACATTAGTTACACAGTAATCTATTGTTAAAATTATTTCAGTGGTCTATCAGCTAATAACTTAAGTAAATTCTCTTTAAACATTGGTAAAAGCAAAGAATTTGAAACCAACTGACTTAAAAAGATTTGTTAGGGGCGCCTGGGTGGCGCAGTCGGTTAAGCGTCCGACTTCAGCCAGGTCACGATCTCACAGTCCGTGAGTTCGAGCCCCGCGTCAGGCTCTGGGCTGATGGCTCGGAGCCTGGAGCCTGTTTCCAATTCTGTGTCTCCCTCTCTCTCTGCCCCTCCCCCGTTCATGCTCTGTCTCTCTCTGTCCCAAAAATAAATAAAAAATGTTGAAAAAAAAAATTAAAAAAAAAAAAAAAAGATTTGTTATGGAATCCTTCAAGGCATGCCCTTTCTCAATACCTATAGCTATTCTGGTGACTTAGAGATTTTTAAACCTTTGCTTTTACTGCAGAAGCCAAATTAGGCCTTGTTTCTATGATGGTTCTTTGGGAACTTCTCTTACTTCAATATAGGAACTCAGTTTCAGGGGGAGTTTGGGGAGTCTCAGCAGGCATTTTGAAATCTAGTAAGTTAGTTCTAGAAAATCTCTGTTAACTGTCCCATAACCATGTCTGTTTATTAGTCTATCATGAAAATTCAGGCATAGTTGTCATGCTTAAAGCCTAGGTCTTAGAAACCATATCATGGGTTTTATTAAAATAGATTCTCAAGAAAGAAAATAGTCCAAATAAGACTAAAATTCTCTCCATTACTCCCTTACCTCTTAGATACTCTGTACTGTGCTGTGGTCAATTTTCCAGTCTCAGGGTCATGTACTGTAGCTCGGCTCAGCTACAAAAAAAGAGAAAGGACAAGGACTTACTAACGTAGCAGGCAATTTTGGGCTTTTGTTTGTTTTGTTTTGCCAAGCCACAGGTGATTGGAAGAGTTCAGATTGGTCTGGATGGTAGGTAATGGTTTCAAATCAGCAAAAACATTTAGAAAGGTGGCAATAAATGAAAAGCCACTTCCAAATCAAGAGAAAATGGGTTGACATATTTTTGTTGTAGATTTATTGTCCTTTCACTTTTTTTTTTTTTTAAATCATTTGAAGCTGTATGTAAATGATTTATAGCACTGGGTTTCACAGGAGCTTTCTCAGATCTAGAAGTTTAATGTCCTTTAAGTATTGTGACAAAAGAATAGTTAATAGTCTCTTTAAATTTATTTTTTAAAACTCTCACTGAGATAAAACTGTAGTTAAGTCTCTCTGGCGAAGTAAAAGGCAACTAAGTTCATGAATAATAGTAGTTGGAAGACTGAGATCAGAAGCATAACTCTGTTCTTTCCATTGCCAGCTTTCAAGTCAGCAAGTTTTTTAAAATAACTCCAACAGGAGGAATACAGATTACTTCAAAATGACAATGGTATTTCACAAGATGAATGAACAAATGCCAGTACAATCACCATGAAGGATGATGTGAATTCACTGTAGCATTTATGAATGTGAGAGAACTATATAAACAAAGGCTACTCCCAGATTAATCCAGGCTTCTTCTTTTTCTTTTTTTTCCCCTTTGGCAAGAAAAAGGAAACAGAAAACAAGTATCAAGCCATTTCCTGGAGATTGGATTCCTGACCTGAAGAGAAATGCAAAGCATATTAATTCCCTAAAAATAACAGACCAATTAAAGATTAAAGAGAACTTCTAGTTAAAGGGAAAGACCCGTGAAACACAAAGCATTTTACCCATGCGTATATAAAGAGGCAGTGACTTGAGCTGGAGACTGAAAATGACCTACTTCTCTTAAATGAATAATTCCTGTAGGATGTACAAAACACTCGTTAGAGGGCAAAATATGCAACATACACATCTCTTACCTTTTGCTAATTCTGTAATGTACCGTCTCCAAGTCTCCTGTTATTGGGTTTGAAATGGTGGCTCGCCTCAGCTGTGAAGCCAACCATCAAAATAGTCGCATTACAAAACAAAAAAAAAAGGAATCACATTTATCCAACCGGTCAGAATTCTGGGATTTTTACAAAGGAAAATGAAAAGAGAAAATAACTCCATAGACTTCCAGTCATCTTGTGTTAAGCCTTGAGACTTGGAAGTTTTTTAGTTTTTGGATTTTTTTTGTTATTTTAAAAATTTTGTTTTTGCTTTGCATGAATGGAGGATACACAAAAGAGATTAGAAATTAAATTTCTTTCAATGGTTGGATGATGGGACTGTGAGGAAAGAAAAATTTCTAAAATGTGAAGTCTAATTTATAGTTACAAGAATGGCTATTTGCAGTTAATGATCCATTTCAAACCTCTTATTTTAATTTTTTTAGTGATGCAACTGTCTGCAAAGGTTAATGTTGTTCAAAATTTGTTTCAAAATCTATCTTTCCTTCCTTCAATATATATGTTCATATATTTCACATATACAGTGAAATAATCTTGGGACCTAACAGAAAGGTAGATGAAAAGAACTCATAAATGTACAAAAACAGTAAGAAATTGATGACAGCCAAGATAATGATTTTAAACTTTAAAAAAAAATGGAGGGTGATTTGGAGGTTAACAAAAGAGAATAAAATTTTTATTGCCTTTGAATTTTTTTATTAAAATAATCCAACTGAGGCATCCCCTTTGAAGACTGAGGTCTCCAAACCCAGAGATATATGACTTGATCCCCAAGCTGAAACGCATTCTTAATCAATATTCTACCAAGATGTTTTGGTTTACTTGGTTTATAGACCACAAAGAATGGACAAAAATAGGAATTCAGACAATACTGGCACAATATGATGAAAGAGTGATAAGAATTCCCTTGGATATATATATATATACATACACACACACACACACACACACACATATATATGTATGTATGTGTGTGTGTGTGTGTGTGTGTGTGTATATATATATACATATATATATATAAAAACCAGTCTTTCCCATTTAAAATGTAATCTTTGATAAAAAAACAAAAAGTACCAATTTGGAATCATAAAATTTGACAACAACAAAAATTCTGACTTTAGGTTTATTTTGCAGTACAGAAATCCAGATAATTAAATCTTTTAATATAACAAGGATCTGCAAACTATGGACTGCCACCTGCTTTTGGAAACAAAGTTTTATTGAAATACAGCCACACTCATTTATATATTTTCTATGGCTGCTTTCGCACTACAGTGGCAAACTTGAGTAGTTGTGACAGATGGTATGGCCAGCAAAGCCTAAAATATATTATCTGCACCTTTATAGAAAAAATTTGCCAACTCCTGTGTAACAGTCTCTTTATAAAAGTGAGGGCAGTTTGTATTTTACTATCAATGATATAAAATGGAGATCTTGTTCAATGAGAACAAGCTGGTGGGGAAAAAGGCAAGACCATAAAGGGTAGTGTTTCTCCCATTCTCATAAAAGAAGAATTTCTATGCTAAACAATAAGTTTATGGGACTGTATTTACATTAAATTGTTTTTCTTAAGATAAATTATGTGAGTTAAATTCAGAAAACTATGATGTCCTTATTTCAAATTAGCATGATGACTGTGCCCAATTATATCTTTCTAGTAATAATGTGCCAGAAGGGAAATAAAAATACTTCAAGTATTCTTTCAGATAAAAATATAGAAGATAGGAGAAAGTTGGTCTTTGATTAGTTTATGAGACTAAAGTTCCGAAAATACATACAAAACTTTTTCAGGAAGATACTGAAACACAAATTTAAGTGTCAATAAAAATCTCATTTATGATTTTCATAATTAAGTGCTTAAAACCCAGATGCAGGGTTTGCTACTTGTGTTAATAACTAAGGAAAAATTGGCATAGAGCTTAGTTAACAACTCCATTATGTTATGACAACAATATCTAAAACTATCTGTGGGATTATTGCCATATCAATTATCATATTTGTAACTTGCAGAGGCAAAACTGATACATGGGTAAAGTAAACTGAGAAGGAGAAAAGATAAAAAAATTACTTACCCTTGGTTTTGCTAGATCTTTGACAATTTCAATTTCTGCATCAGAGATAATATCATGGAAGCGAATAATACGAGGCTTGTCCCACTCATCCTCCTGTTTAGCTGGGGCCAGAATGAATTTAGGATTCCGGTTTCCATCATGATAACGGCAAAAGAGTTTTTTCTGTCTCCGAGGAGTCTAAACATAAAGTTACAAAAATGATAAATATATTAGAGTAATAATATTTTTAATGCTTGCTCCTATGCAGAAAAGAAACAATAATCATGTTTGTGTATAAATAGAGCATTTATGGTAGACTATACAAAAGAAACAGTACTCTGCAAGTATTTTGCATCAAATGGGACATTCAGGACTTTACAAGGTTTATTAATGATTATTTTCTGGGAGAAGTGTTAGGCCTTATATAAGAAAAAAGGTAGGGTTTCTCTTCCAACCCTTGTCTCATTAAAATAAAGTTGAGATATTTAAATATGAAAGAAATAATGACATATTTATGAAAATATGAAATGAATGACCAGCATTGCTCCAAACTTCACAAACTAACTGGGAAGCACCCAGAAAAAAAATTTCTAAAAGGAGAAATAAAACAAAACAAAACAAAACCTCATCAGGTTTATCTAAATACCTCCCAGTTAAATGCTTGTAGCATAAATAAATAGATTTAGTTAGGTAGTTTTAAAAAGCAAAGATGAAAATGAGTAACTCTGAAAAAGAAAAAATAAGTTATTAAAGAAGGCAGGTGCTTTTATTGATAGATATTAAAAATTGAGTGATCGACAAATGTTCCTTTCAATCTATATTAACTAAATAAGTGATTCCATTGCTGAATCTTCTCTTGATTGAATAAGTGCATCATATATGAAGTAGGAATAATATTAGTTTTTGTTTTAAATATTAGGTTAACCTACTAAGACAAGTAAATAATGATTCATGTTTATTCTCCATGTACTTTATTTACCTAGAGTCAAATCTAAAGATTTATTGGGCAACTGAGTGGCTCAGTCAGTTAAGCATCCCACTCTTGGTTTTGGCTCAGGTCATGATCTCACAGTTTATGAGTTTGAGCCCCACATCAGGCCCTGCACTGACAGCTCGGAGCCTGCTTGGGATTCTCTCTCTTTCTCTCTCTCTCTCCCTGCCCCTCCCCCACTCGTGCATGCAGTTTCTCTCTCAAAACAAATAAACTTAAAAAAAATCTAAATATGTATTTATATAAGTCTTTGATATAACCATGAGGTGAATTTAACTATTCTGAGGATAAAGACGATCCTTTGATTTTGGGCAGAGTTACTGTGTGTGTGTCATATCAACAAACTGGCAAATTAAGCAGACTTCTATTTTATACCTATGGCTTTATTTTGATTTGTTCTTTAAGAGTTATTAAGGGCAATAAAAAATATTTGCTTACTATTGGAAATTTGAACACTCACTAGATGTTTCATGATATGGAAATATTATGAATTTTTTTAGGTATGATAATGGTTTTTTGATTATTATCTTTATCTTCAATAGATACATAATAAAATATTTAGATATGAAATTAAAAAAATATTTCATGAGTCTATCAGAGTGTTATTACCCTTATATTTACTCCTTAGCACCAAAGCAAAAGTAAGCATATTCTTCCAGGTCTCCATGAACTTAGCTATCAAAAGTGTCAACATAGATATGATCTACACATTTGCTGTTAGAGATTAGGCTGTCAACGATAAGTCCTCAAATGTCAAAAAGTCATCAATATCAAAATGTAAAGTCCAGCTTGAGTTTATCAGTAGCAGAGAAAAACTTACAACGCTATACAAATGTTTACAACTTAAAAGTACTTACTTCAAAAATTCACTAACTCCTTCTACATATGCCCACATTCAGCTGAACACTAGTACCCCATGATATTCCTAAAAAAAGGGTTCCATGATCTATTAATGTTGGGAAACAATGTATAGCATATCCGTGATGTACATTATCATAAAAGGACTCTGAAAAGTCCTGAGGCTGAACAAAAACCTATGTTCTCCAAACTTAAACTTGTTTGTGGTCTTTTATCTATTAACACCCTGAAGCACTGGTATTCTGAGTTACAAATACATAAATATAGATATACAATAAAGGAAGGGATATTTATAGGCACATTTGAGTATTTAAAAAAAATAAATGTTAAAGCAAAAATCTTTTGAAATCCTTTCTGCGTTTTAAATATTTCTTAAATAGACTAACATGTTTCACTAAGCAATCTTGTCAAGATCAGCTAGGAGCAAAACCACAAAAGATTATTGTATAGATGAATTCTTTGTTTTATACAATGGGTTAGGATGATATATTATTTCTATTAAGATTGCAGAAATCTCTTTTGCATTAAGATATAAGATAAAGCTTAAATGATCTTATCCCTTAAATTATCTCATCCCTCATCTTATAAAAATAAACCTCTTTTGGCCTATGCAAAGAGTTATATTACCAAAAATAAACAAAATGCAATAATGATTCTTTATTCTAAAGCTTTATTCTAAAACTATTTTACTAACAGCTGGAGCATATTAAGTGTGACACCCACAATAAGGTGATGTGGTATATTGTAATACTTTAAGCAGTTAATTCTAATTTTTATCACATAGGCTTAAATATAAAAGAACTCTGATTCTCTCTAGAACTATGTACAAACATACACACACACACACACATTCATACACACACACAATTGGCTTTTCCACTTTACCATTTTGATACCCTCCCCACGGCACAGCATTTCGTACTTCTGTCTCTCTGGCAGGTAATCCACAGCAACCCCTTTTTTCTTCAGTGTGGTTTTCCGATCAGATTGGTCATCTGAAGCAGATTTATTAGCATCTTTTTCTTTAGCCATTATATATTCAAAATATTTTAAGTTACCATTAGCTCTCTGGTGTTCAGGATCTATTGGAGAGAAAGGAAACATGTCCATGACTAAGTTTATAGTTGTTCAAGCATCAGAATATAGGAATATAAAAATGCAGGATCATTTAATTTACCTTTCAAACCGGGACACTTATGAGAGTAAAAGGAGGCACTAATAAAAATCATTACACCAAAACAACAGGTATAAACCAGTACTGGCTGAAGTAAATCACCTACTGTCACCCTATATACAAAGAGTTCCGGAGAAGGAATCAGCCATTCATGTCAAAGTAGTAAATATTCTACTTTGAGAACTTACTGAAAAGTTCTCAAAGAAAAGTCTCAGTGAAATAATTATGATCAGTTTGATGTCAAATGAATTCTAAAATATCACTCATTCTACTTATTTTAAGCAATAGAAAAGATTTTTCTGAGACTGAATGTAATCATCATGGGAAAGACAGTGTATATACAGTTCAAAAGCAACATTCACCACAGATACATTATAAATGCAGAACACAGCCTACTTCTGAGTGAATTTCAGTCCCCAAATTCTAAGTGAGATGGAAAAAGAGAAACTAAAGATATAATTTTCAAATAAAGCAGAATCCACTAACTGCCTCTGAATTGCTAGTCATCATTTTTAGCTATCTTTTAGTAGGGGAAATGAGGACTAGACTACTCCACCCATCCTAGAGGAAAAAAAAATCCAAACCATTACACATACACACAAAAATAAAAAAGAACAATACACAGAAACCTCATTTGTGATATTAAATGAAGTGTTTAGGAAATCTAGCCTTACATTTGTAAGATTTTGTCTTTGAGAAACTGTTCACAATATATATTGTGATATACAATATAATCTTAATTTTGTAAAAGAATGGGATAAGTATGTATGTGCAGGAAAGAGGGTATATACTATCATGAAACAAAAAAAATTTGTGATTGTGAAAATCTTTCAGTGATAGACTGATGGATGACTCTTCCATATCTTTTCTTATTTTTAAAAATTTTCTATAAGGAGTAAAATATTCTTTAAGTGAGGAGAAAAAAATCACGAAAAAATACTGAAAAAAAGGTACTTGAACTAATATCTCAATTTATTAACTCACTCAACCAAGAAATAACCTAATTATCAGAAGTTCATTTTCAGATGGCCAATTCTTTTAAACTGTTTGACTTTTCTAAAATACACATATTAACCTATTCATAAAAATAATTAATTTTTGAAAAGTTTTAAAGCTTCATTATATACCAGAGGTCACCTGAATTTATTAGCATACAATTCAATGTCCACAGATTCTAATTTAGTAGCTCTGGGGTGGAAATCAAGAAATTTTTCATTTCTAATATGTATCCAAGTAATTCCAATGCACATGGTCCCTGGATCATACTTAGAGAAACAAGTTGAAAACACTAGTGATAAAATCCTCAAAGGATATCACATTATCTAATATTTGAATATGACAAATTACATTTTCAGTCTATTTATTTTAAATCACAAGATCATTTTTAAACATGAAATGTAAGAACACAAAACATTTCAAAGGAAACTGGTTAATATTTAATATAGCAACATGGTAAATAAACATTTTTTACTGAGTTAGCTAGGTTAGGTCCACTTTTGAAATTCCTGAAGAGTATACAGCAGAGTAGCACAGCCACTGTTGTAGTACCATTAACTGAGGAAAATCAGTTGCCACTTATTTAGTGTATAAACAGGGAGAGGATAAAATTTGTCTAACAGATAGATTCTTGACTTATAACAAATAAAAAGTACCAAATGGAATAAATATTACTCAGCCATAGAAAAGAATGACATTTTGCCATTTGCAACGACATGTATGGAACTAGAGAGTACAATCTTCAGCAAAATATGTCAGAGAAAGGCAAATACCGTATGATTTCGCTCATATGTGGAATTTAAGAAGCAAAACAAATGAACATGGAGGGGGGAAGGTGGGGGGGTTGGAAAGGCAAACCAAGAAACAGACTCTTAACTATAGAGAACAAACTGAGTACTGATGAAGGGGAGGTAGGTGGGGTTATAGGTTAGATAGGTGATGGGAATTAAGGAGGCATTTGTTGTACTGAACACAGGTGTTGTATATAGGTGATGAATCACTAAATTCCACCCCTGAGACTAATACTGCACTGTATACTTACTAACTAGAATTTAAATAAAAACCTGAAAAAAGAAAAAAAAAATGTACCAAAGCTATATAACAAATTACACTTATCAGAATTACACATATATCAGAATTATATATATTTATCATTATATACATATATATGTAAGACAAGATATGTAGTCATATATCAGAATTATACATATACATTTATGTTGGCATATAGGTTGGCACTTTTTATATACAATAATTATATATAATTTATATATACATATATATGTATGTGTGTATGTGTGTGTGTGTATGTAATCTTGAATTAGGCCAATTTAACATACCTAGTTCAAGAAGCTTCTTTGTAAGAAAAAGTGCCTTATCCAGGTCTCCCTGCTGGTATACCGCATAGCTCAAATAATCTAGAACAGAGACTTTATCAATGGTAGAAACCTCGCCTTCATCCAGCTGCCTTAGTGCTTGTTCCATCCACAGTTCTGTATGGTAATAATCTGCTTCTGTGTAGGCCACTTTGCCCAACTCAAAACAGTCCTCAACTGTTAGAAAAGATTTGTGTTTTACTCCTATGGAAAGAAAATACAGAGAACTTTAGAAATCTTAATACTACTCTCTATTTATTTAGGACTATACAGCTTTCAAAGTGCTATCTCGCTTTCATTTGAACTTAACAACCTTCTGAGGTAGGAAAAACAAGAATTATCCTAAGTTTATGAACAAAGGAACAATCTACAAGGTAATGAAACATGCTGAGAATCACACTAATAGGGGTCATGGACCTAGAAAACCCAAGACTTCAATTATCAGCCATCATACTAAAATAAAACACCAATTAAGTTGAAGCATGCAATTTTCTAGCACAACAGGAATTACCATATGACATACATCTTACTCCTAACCAACAATCTGTGCAAGAAATGAATGGACAGGAAGAGAGGCAAACCTGTAAATTGGTTCCTTTCCTTTTTCCTTCCCCTTTATTCCAACAGCATTAATGACATGTAATTTACATTCCATAAAGTTCATCCATTTAAAGAATACAATAGTTTTTAGTATATTCAGAGCTGTGCAACCAACACCAAATCTAATTTTAGAACATTTTCATCACCCCAAAAAGAAACCCTGTAACCATTAGCAGTCACTACCCATTATTTCCCTTTCCCTGCCCCAGCCCTATTTAACCACTCATCTACTTTCTGAATCTACAGATTTGTCTATTCTGGTTATTTCATATAAGTGAAATTACACAACACAGGGTCTTTTGTAACTGGTTTCTTTCAACTCAGCATAAAGTTTTCAAGGTTCATTCATGTTGTGGCTTATCCTTTTTATTGCCAAGCAATAGCCCATTGTATGAAAAGACTATATTTTGTTTATCAATTGATGGACATTTGAGTTTCCAGTTTTTTTGGCTTTTATGAACAATGCTACTACATACATGCATGCACAAGTTTCTGTGTGGACATTTATTATCATTACCCTTATATGCAGCAGTGGAACTGCTGGGTCCCACAGCAACTCTATGCTTAACATTTTCAGGAACTGCCAAACTGTTCTCCAAAGTGCCTACACCATTTTACAATCCCACCAGCAATGTATGAAGGTTCCAATTTCTCCACATTCTCACTAATACTTGTTGTTGTCCATTTGTTTTTATTATAGCCATTTAGCTGGGTATAAAGTAGTATTTCATTATGTTGATTTGTATTTCCCTTAACGATGATACGAAGTATCTTTTCATATGCTTATTGTCCATTTGTATATCATCTTTGGGAAAATATCTATTCAAATCCTTTGTCTGTTTAAAAATTTGAATCTTTTCACTATTTTTAGAGTTCTTTATATATTCTGGATACAAGTCCCTGATCATAAATATGATTTTCACATATTCTTTCCCATTGTATGGGTAGTCTTTTCACTTTCTTGATGGTGTACTTTGAAGTATAGAAGTTTTAATTTTGGTGAAGTCTAACATTAATCTTTAATCAGTTGTGCTTTTGGTGTTGGTATGTCAACTAGTTTGTGAAGTAAAACTTCTATCTTAAGAAAAGAAGATGGTGGGGCGCCTGGGTGGCGCAGTCGGTTAAGTGTCCGACTTCAGCCAGGTCACGATCTCGCGGTCCGTGAGTTCGAGCCCCGCGTCGGGCTCTGGGCTGATGGCTCAGAGCCTGGAGCCTGTTTCCGATTCTGTGTCTCCCTCTCTCTCTGCCCCTCCCCTGTTCATGCTCTGTCTCTCTCTGTCCCAAAAATAAATAAACGTTGAAAAAAAAAAAAAAGAAAAGAAGATGGGGCACCTGACTGGCTCAGTCAGTAGAGCATAAAACTCTTGATCTCGGGGTTGTGAGTTCAAGCCCCACATTCGGTGTGGAGCCTACTTAAAAAACAAAACAAAACAACAACAACAAAAAACCTAGTTTGAAAAAAGGATATTTGAGGCGCCTGGGTGGCTCAGTCAGTTAAGTGTCTGACTTTGGCTCAGGTCATGATTTCACAGTTCGTGGGTTCAAGCCCCTTGTCGGGCTCTGTGCTAACAGCTCAGAGCCTGGAGCCTGCTTTGGATTCTGTGTCTCCCTCTCTCTCTGCCCCTCACCCACTTGCGCTCTATCTCACTCTGTCTCTCAAAAATAAATACATGTAAAAAAAATTTTTTTTAAAAAGGATATTTGACAGTTCACATGAAATAAAATGTAAATAGGAAACCACAATGCTTGAAGAAAAAAATCTCACTAATCATTAAAGAAATATGAAATTAAATTTTTTTAATTTTCTTATCTTTATTTATTTCTGAGACAGAGAGAGACAGACCATGAGTGGGGGAGGGGCAGAGAGAGAGGGAGACACGAATCAGAAGCAGGCTCCAGTCTCTGAGCTGTCAGCACAGAGCCCAACGCGGGGCTCGAACTCACAAACCGTGAGATCATGACCTGAGCCGAAGTCAGTCGCTCAACCGACTGAGCCACCCAGGTGCCCCAAGAAATATGAAATTAAAACAATGCTGAAGAAAAAAAATTTTTTAACTTTATTATTATTATTTTTATTTTACAGAGAGAGGGAGAGAGGGAGAGAGAGTACAAGCAGGGGAGGGGGCAGAGGGGCAGAGAGACAGAGAGAGAGAGAGAGAGAGAATTCCGAGCAAGTTCCACACTGAGCATAGAGCCCGACGTGGGACTTGATCCCATGACCCTGGAATCATATGACCTGAGCCAAAATCAAGAGTAGGCCACTCAACTGACTGAGCTACTACCCAGGTGCCCCAGAAAAATATTTTTGAACAACAGCCTACATACATTTACTGAGATCTTACTATGTGCCAGGCATTTGTCACTTATTTAATTCTCAAAGCAATCCAGATAAGGAACTACAGTAGAAAGAGTTTAACTATTATGCTCAAGGTCACACAGCAAAGAGCCAGAATTGGAATCTGTACACTATGACTCCAGAAGTTTGTGTGAAATTACACCATAAAATGGCAAAATTTACTAGGGGAGGGAGTAGTAAAGTGGTAATTTTACTGTTACGACATTTGGCAATATGAAACAAGAGTAGTAATTTTATGCCTATGAATTGATACTAGTTTTCAATTATTTTCTTGAGTTTAATACTAAGGGTTGAGGAAAAAACACCTTCTTATATAAATAATTTTTTTATAGCTGAACCAAATATTATAGCTAAAAACTGTAATAAACTAAGAGCAAGACAGATATGTCAATATAATGGAACAGTATTTTTCATTCAGAAAGATAATTTCAAATGCTATATAGGAAAGCCAGAAAAATCTAGACAGAAATATGTCAAAATGCTAAACTGATACCCTGGGGGATGGATTACAAGTTGTTTCCTAAATCTTTATACCTCTCTACTTTTTCAAATACTGTACAATTACCATTACTTTCCTAAGAACCAAAAAAAAAAAAACCCAAAGAAGCTATAGAAAGAAATAAATGGGGGTGCCTAGGAGGCTCAGTCGGTTAAACATCCAACTTCAGCTCAGGTCATGATCTCACAGTTAGTGGGTTCGGGCCCCACGATGAGCTCTGCATTGACAGCTCAGAGCCTAGAGCCTGCACTGGATTGTGTCTCTCTTTGTCTCTCTGGCCCTCCCCTACTTGTGCACTCTTTCTGTCTCTCGCTCTCTCTTAAAAATAAATTAATAGGGGTAACTGGGTGGCACAGTTGGTTAAATGTTGGACTCTTGATCTCAGGTGAGGTCATGATCTCACAGTTCATGAGTTCGAGCCCCACATTGGGCTGTGCACTGATGGAGCAGCGCCTGCTTGAGATTGCGTCTCTCTTTCTCTCTGCCCCTCCCCCACTTGTGCTCGCACATGTGCACATACATGCACTCTCTCCAAATAAACAAACTTTCAAATATTTAAAAATAAAAAATAATAAAGAAATAAAAAGTATAACTGAATGATATGAATAGAATCTTCATATAACATTCCATCTTTAAACAGTGAATCAGATGAGATACTTGGAGATTTTAATTGGAATTAACAACATGAACTCATATATTTCCTATATCTGTCCATTGAAAAGATCTAGAATGAATGACAAACTCAATAGCAACTGACATCCCTAAAACCTAGCTATATTCCACTTCCTAAATGTCATTCCCCACTAAAAAAAAAAAAAAAAAAGGCCTGGGGTGACTAGGTGGCTCTGTCAGTTAAGTGCCTGACTCTTGATTTCAGCTCAGGTCATGATCTTGATCTCATGAACCAATGACTGGGATACTCTCTCTCCCTCTCTCTCTGCCCCTCTCCCACTCATGTGATCATACTCTCTCTCAAAAGAAACACTTAAAAAAAAAAGAATCAAGGCCTGATTCTTCCTGCTTTGGGGTAGAAATGTGTAAGTTTGGAAAAAACTGTGCAAAAAATTAAATTTCCTTGCTAGCAAAGAAAAATAGGGTCATTTCAAAAAGACAAATTACCCAATCTAAAGATGATCCCACTGGTCTCAAATAGGATATCTGGACATCAATGAATAATTAATATAATGGATTGAAATATAAAAATTTATGAAAATCCATGAGTTTATAATGATACTTCAGATAAAAAATCAATGATCACTACTAGAAGTTATTATGACATCAACTCATTACTCTGAATGTTGTTGATACAAGAAAAACAATCAAGGATTTATCTTGCCCTTCATATATAAACTCTAGTTCAGGGTAACCAAATGGTTCCAGAAAGTTCTTACTGATAGAATTCTGGCTAATAAAAGTAGAAAGAATGATGGGATAAAAAATTCAAAATTTGGGGCGCCTGGGTGGCTCAGTCGGTTGGATGCCCGACTTCGGCTCAGGTCATGATCTCGCAGTCCATGGGTTGGAGCCCCGCATCTGTGCTGACAGCTCAGAGCCTGGAGCGTGTTTCGGATTCTGTGTCTCCCTCTCTCTCTGACCCTCTGCCGTTCATGCTCTGTCTCTGTCTCAAAAATAAATAAACGTTTAAAAAAAAATTTTTTTTAATCAAAATTTTAGAACCCCCTAATGAAATAGTTCTAGGCAATTATCATCCAAGGCTGCCAAAACAATTAGATGAAGCTCATGGAAAAC